GTCTTCCATCCGCTGGTCCACTCCCCAGTTGGCTGCAGTGGCTGGAGCTGTGCTGATCCGAAGCCAGGAACCAAAAGCTTCCTCCAGGTCTTCGCATGTGGGTGCAGGGGCCCAAGGACTTGGGCCATCCTCCACTGCTTTCCTGGGCCATAGGAGAGAGCTGGGTCGGAGGTGGAGCAGCCAGGTCTTGAACTGGCACTGATACGAAATGCTGGCACTGCAATGTTGTGGCTTTACCCACTAAGCCACAGTGCTGGCCCCAGGCCTTATGTTAACATCAGGGGAGACTGAGGCAAGGGTATATAAATCTAAAACTATTCCGCAATGAGAAATTTATTTTCAAAAGCATAATGCTCCGGGGCTGGCGTTGTGGCACAGTGGGTTAAAGCCCTGGCCTGAAGCACCGGCATCCCATATGGGTGCCAGTTCTAGTCTTGGCTGCTCCTCTTCCAATCCAGCTCTTAGCTATGGTCTGGGAAAGCAGTGGAAGATGGTCCAAGTCCTTGGGCCCCTGCACCCATGTGGGAGACCAGGAAGAATCTCCTGGATCCTGGCTTTGGATCGGCACAGCTCCGGCTGTTGCGGCCATCTGGGGAATGAACCAGCGGATGGAAGACCTCTCTCTCTGTCTTTACCTCTCTCTGTAACTCTTTCAAATAAATAAAATAAACTTTTAAGGAAAACACATCATGAGCCCTAGAATCAGCCCTTAAGGCATTCTGGTCTGGCTGAAAAGCCCATGAGAGCATTTCAGTCATGGAAAGTGAAGACACTGTGGCAAAAATGTCCTACATGAAGGACCTCAGTGAGTGAGACCCAGGGGAAAGAAGGGGCCATCAAAGAAGGAGGTACCTTTCTCTGAAGGGAGGAGAGAACTTCCACTTAGCTCATGGCCTTGTCTAAATACCGATGGAGTTTGTGGATTCAAAAGGCTTCCACAGCCTAAGCAGCTCATGTCAAGAGCCTTGGGTGATCACTGACGTCATACATAAGAGTGTTAACTGTTAAACTAACAACAGGAGTCACTGTGCACTAACCTTCCATGTAGAACCTCTGTCCTCAAAGAGTTGTATTATAATTATGTCTAAGTGCTCGCAAAATACGTATCATTCTTGGGTGCTTCTTTAGAGTTAATTAAGTTTCAAAAAAAAAAAAAGAAGTGAAATTAACTTCAAGATGCAATGACTTTGAACAGCCCTTATCTCAACTGTTGAGGAACAGGTTTTTTTTTTAAATTTTTTTCCATGCAAATTGTTGAACTCTTTACTTAATATAAAGTTGGTCTTTGGTGTATAATGTTAATTGAAAATGGATCTTAGTGGAGAATGGGACTGGGGATGGGAGAGGGAGGAGGGGGAGGGATGGGAGAGTGGGTGGGAAGGGGGGTATGGTGGGAAGAATCACTATGTTCCTACAGTTGTACTTATGGAATGCATGAAGTGTATATTCCTTAAATAAAAAGTTTCTTTAGGGGGAAAAAATTAAAAAACAACCAACCAACCAACTAAAAAAGCATCATGCCATTACTCGGCCCCCAGAAGAAGCTGGTGGTAAGATACAGGACAGCATTGTGAGGATCCCTCTGAAGGCCGGGTAACCCAGAGTGAGGGTCCCAAATTCAAATACTTGAAAGGGTCACGTGAGTAACACAGGTGGATGGGGGCCGGGGATCACAGGTTCCCACCAAAGGGGCAGACACCGCTCACGTGTTAGCCGTGACTGCCGGGCATGGATCTGGCCTCAGTGTTGCCAGAGCTCCTGTTTTATAGAAGCAGCTGGAAATCTGGACAGCCTTGCTTGAAATCTCCTTATCATTTACAAATGGCCCCCATAACAAAAATCGCTATGTGCCCTCTCTGTGGGTCAAATCTAAGCCATGGTCACGCCTTGGCAACCTCCTAACCAGAGAATTTAAAGAAATACTCCTGGTGGAGTGGGTGTTCAGCCTAGTGCGTGTGATGCCCACACCCAGTTTCAGAGTGCCTGGGTTCGAGTCTGTTCCTGGTTCCAGCTTCCTGCTAGGGCACACCCTGGGAGGCAGCAGGTAATGGCTTGAGTGAGTTGGATTCTTGCCACCCATGGGGCAGCCCCTGGCTTTGACCTGGTGCAACCTACGGCTGTTGGCAGGTATTTGGGGAGTGAACCAACAGGTAGGAGATCTCTCTATCTCTGTCTCTCACATAAATAAAATGCACGTGGAAATTGGGAAGCCCTTGACATATTCTCTCCTGGGACGTGTGCTCCTGTTGCTAACAAAGTGACTGTCATATATGACTGGGAGTGGAGGAGCAAGGCCATCTGAGGTCACATCCCCAAATCTGCAACTCCATCTCCCCAGTCATGGGGACAGTCATGGCTCTGTGGTGCGCCCAGCCCGGGTGGCCAGCTGGAGTCCTTCCTGCATGGTGGCCCTTGCTCTCTCCTTCCTGGCTTTTGAGAGCTTTTCAGGGCATAAGGGTGAGCACCTCTGTTTCATTTGTGGATGACATTGCATGGGAACGCGTCTCACCGACACAGGATTCCTGGTAAACCTTCCTGGGAGAGCTGTCCCTGAACCGCTGCTGCTGTTTGGTGTTTCTTCCCACTTTGATTCCATGGCATTGGGAAGTTGGGGACAGAACTTCTTCCTGGTCTGGTCCTTTAAGAGTAGGGACTTAGGCTAAAACTTCATTATAATTAGCTTCTTTGCCTAGTGTGTTTAAGACAATAGCTTTGCTTGTACCCTGAGTATGAGTCACCTTTGCTAATGTAGCTAGTTTTAGATCAAGAACCAACCCAATGATGAAAGCAGTCATTCCCAAACCTGGCTGTTTACTAAAATTCCACGGGAAGCTCCTGAGTAATTCCCATTCCCAGGACCCAGCCTCAGAGTTTTTTTTGACAGGCAGAGTGGACAGTGAGAGATAGAGACAGGAAGAAAGGTCTTCCTTTGCCGTTGGTTCACCCTCCAATGGCCACCGAGGCCGGTGCACTGCGCTGATCCTATGGCAGGAGCCAGGTGCTTCTCCTGGTCTCCCATGGGGTGCAGGGCCCAAGCACCTGGGCCATCCTCCACTGCCCTCCCGGGCCACAGCAGAGAGCTGGCCTGGAAGAGGGGCAACCGGGCCCTGACCGGGACTAGAACCCAGTGGGCTGGCGCCGCAAGGCGGAGGATTAGCCTAGTGAGCCGCGGTGCCAGCAGAGGTTTTCATTTATGGAGTTGACACTGGGGCACATGATACTACCTGTTCCTGGGGGATTGATTCCAGGACTTCCGACAGATACCAAAGTTTGCACAAGCTCAAATCCTGTCTATAACCCAGCTCAGCATTTGTGCATAATCTGTGCATATCCTCCCATATCCTTTAAGTCATCTCTGGATGACTTGTAATACCTAACACAATGTAAATGCTATGTAGATTGTTGTCATAGTGTATTGTGTAAGGAATAATGATGAGAAAAAAAGGTCTCCACGCATTCAGTACAGACACACATTTCCTCCTAGTATTTTCCATCTGTGATTGGTTGGATCCCTGGATGTGGAACCCATGGACTCAGAGAACCAACTGTACATGTTGTCAAAGCCCGGCAAAGGATTTTAATAGTCACGTTTGGGAACCACCGGAGTGGAGCGTTTGGGCCCCAGCTGTGCACTTTGCAAGTGGGTAGACTGTATACAGCAGCGGAGCTCCACACAGCCCTTTTATGAGGAGGATCAGCTTTTCATTTCCTGCAGCCTTCACTGTCAGCAGGGGTGTGGGACAGCACAGAAGCTGCCTCCAAAGCCCAGCCAGGAGCGGGCAGGTTATCCGGTGTTAAGTCAAAAGCCCAATTTTCTGCAGGAGATGTGCCACGTGCTATCTGAAAGGTCCTAGGCCACTCATTTTCTCTCTCTTCTCATGCTGACATAGAATGTTCTGAGAAAGAGAGAGAAGCACCTGCTAGTCAAGCAGTGGAAAATTTGTCAAACCTGTGAGAAGGGGAGTGTCCCAGGGTAGCAGTCCACTGGATGGACATTTATGTATCAGTCAACCCATATTTTTTTTCTAAAAGGGAATTTTTCCCCAGAACTATATTTATTTTTAAAGATTTTATTTATTTATTTGAGAGGTAGAGTTATATACAATGAGAGGAAGAGACAGAGAGAGGTCTTCCTTCCATTGGTTCACTCCGCAAATGGCCACAATGGCTAGAGCTGTGCCGATCTGAAGCCAGGAGCCAGGAGCTTCTTCCGGGTCTCCCACGTGGTTGCAGGGTCCCAAGGGCTTGGGCCATCTTCTACTGCTTTCCCAGGTCATAGCAGAGAGCTGGATCGGAAGTGGAGCAGCCAGGACTCAAACTGGCGCCCATATGGGATGCCGGTGCTGCAGGTGGAGGATTAACCTACTGTGCCATGGCGCCAGCCCCAACCCATATATTTTTAAACAAAAGATTATTTTATTTATTTGAAAGTTAGAGTAATGGTGGGATGGGGAGGGAAATAGGGAGTCTTCCATCTGCTGGTTCACTCCCCAAATGGCTGTGACCATCAGGGCTGGCCAGTGTGAATCCAGGAGCCAGCACTCCAAGCAGAATTGGCAGGGGTCTAGTCTTATGGGCCAGGTTCTACTGCCTTCCCAGACGCATTAGCAGGGAGCTGAATTGGAAGCAGAGCATCTGAGAGTTGAACTAGTGCTCTGCAGTGGAACACCAGCATTGCAGGTGACAGCGTAACCCACTGAACCACAATGCCAGCCCCCAGACACACCCTTAATGTCTGTAGACATAGGATCATCTATGTGGGGAAACTCATTCAATCATTCAATCCTGTTTCCTGAGCATCTACCAAGAGTCATATGTGTTTATTCCAACAGTAAACTAGACCACAATGGCCGCTATGCATTAAATATGTAGTCATGGAGACCAAATAGAAAATCAACTATGTATTAGTATAAGAGCTGTAATAAAGACATGCATAGAAAAGCAGGAAATGCTATCCATCCCCAGCGCGGCCCTTGTGGTTATTTGGTGGTTGTTTACAGATTGGCGAGGTCAACGCTGGTGCTGCTTCCTCTGTTGGGTGTTCATGAGATCGTCTTCATGTTCGTCACTGATGATCAAGTTCGAGGACCTTCAAGACTGATACGCCTCTACTTTCAGTTGCCATTGAGCTCCTTCCAAGTAAGTGGGCGTCTGACCGTGATGTCTTTGTTTTGGAAAAAAAAAACAAAAATACAAGTGGTTCAAAGAGGTGCAGATTGAGAGAGGCCAGGGATGAAAATAAAATTCTAGCATCAGCAGGCTTTATTGGTGAGGGCCCTTGGTCTTAAGAAGGGTGTGCAGACGGGGAAAGTGTTGCCTTAGTCCTGCCAATGTGATTTGGTGACTAAGAAGGGAAATGCGGTGTCTCTCCTGGGCTATAATAGTTGGTGTGACTCATGATCTATTAACTGTGAATGTCAACATGAAGCCTTTTATTAAGTGCCTATTTTTGCTGGGTTCTCTGCAGAGCATTGGCAACATGAGCGTTGTCTGTGTTGCAGGTGACACGTACACAGAGCACAGCACAACTTGGGCAGAGACTAGTGAGTCCAGACCCAGGAGGTGCTAGAACCCGACAGATGGGTGGGGGCTGAAACTAGGAATGAGAGGCCAGTTGTGTTTAAGTTACCTGAATATGTTGGTTACCCATTGCTTAAATTTTTGTCTATTGCTTAGTAGCTTAAAGTGTCAATAATTTTTTGTTACGTCTCGTAATTCTGGAAGTCAGCAATCCAGGTAGAATATGGTAGTGATGGCTGGGACTTCCACAGTGGCTTCTTCACTCACGTGTCTGGGGTGGCTTCGTTAGATCAAATTTCTGGTGCCTTATTTCTCACTCTCAGCTATGTTCCTAACTTCCGTCCAGTCTTGGGACCTCTCACTTCCTACGTGTTCCCTCCTTGTGATCTCTCCGTGGAATAGTTGAACTTATGCAGGAGCTGAGGGCTCCCAGGAGTGTAGAAGTGTGAGCTTCCAGGTCTTTCAAAGGCCGAGACCTGGAACTGCCACTCTGGTGCTGCGGCTGAAATCCTGCTATTTAAAGCTAGTTACATACCCAGTCTCAGCTGAAGGCTAGAGATAGTGCAAGGGTGTGACTCCTGGGAGGCATGGTTCATTAGCAAAGGTTGTAAGTGCAGTAGATTACCACTAATAGCATAGAAGGAAAAAAGGCCCCCATACAGTAGCAATCGTAGAATTTTAATACTGGTGTAGGGACAGGACTTCTGCAGTGGAGCTTAGCCAATCCTCTCCCCAAAAAGTAATGATAAGATTAGACAACTATCAACAGCAACTATCTTGGGACCCTAGAAATCAAGCAAAGGCATTGGAAAGATTGATAAGGATTTATTCAAGAAAAATTACTGAACCTAAGTGAGAACAATGGGCGTCACTTTTGTCTGGAGAAGCGTTGGTTCTCAAATTTCTGCTACACAAGCCCTAGTGAGAACTAGCAACTGTCCTGCAATGGGGGGCGCCCCTTGACTTGAATCAGGAAAAGCCCATATCCCAGGCGTTGCCAGACAGAGTAGTGAGCTGGTGGCAAAGAACAGGGAGGGACAGTGTCAGAGCCTGAGGTTATAATCCTTAGGGAAAGAAACATTGATGGAGGAGCTGGAAGTTTAATAAGGAGATCTGAGGAATAAGAAAGCCACAGTGTGTCATGTTAGACTCCCATGTGGCCCCTTAATGGGCCGAAGGTTGTACATATGTGCAGACTGCACATGCATTCAAGAGAGAGCTCAGAGAGATCAGGAGGATCACCCCCTTGGTTGAATGTGAATTCCCGTGCACACGTAGAGGAGATGTGAGAAGACCTGGCTTGGAGTAAAATCTGGGAACCACTGGTAAACCTGCCTTTGAACGTGGTCATACACTTTGTGTTCTCAAAGTGACACACACACACACTGGCAGAGGGTGTAGGGGCCTTACTGTTTAAAGTGTTAGAACACAGCTTTTGATCGACCGTGGGCTGCTCATGAGGCTATTGGAAACAGGGGCCAGAGGCTCAGACTTGAAAGTAAGAATTTAGAAATTTAGAGAAGCACCTGGCTCCTGGCTTCGGATCAGCATGGTGCGCCAGCCACAGTGCGCCAGCCATGGCGGCCATTGGAGGGTGAACCAACAGCAAAAGGAAGACCTTTCTCTCTCTGTCTCTCTCTCTCACTGTCCACTCTGCCTGTCAAAAAAAAAAAATATAACACAGCTCTCAGTGGCTGTACACTGGCTGCGAGACAGAGTCCACAGAACTAGTACTCCAGACACATTGCTAAACTAATAAACAACTAAACCACTCCTGCCACCCCCGGTGTGGGAAGTAAGGCATCAGAAGCCTGAATTAAAAATTAGGAGAGGTACAAAGAAACAGGAAAGTGTGACCCAGACTCAGGGGAAAAAAAAAAGAAGCCAACAGAAATTATGAGGGGCCCAGGTGTCAGAATTAGCAAAAACTTCAAATAAACTATTACAAGTATGTTCAAAGAATTGAGGGAGAGCATGTTTAAAGAATTAAGGGACAGTGTGGTGACAGTGATTCATCAATTAGAGAATCCCCATTCACAGAGGGGAACTATAAAATAAGAACCAAATGAAAATTCTGGAGCTGAAGTGTGCAATAGCTAAAGTGAAAATCCCACTAGAAAGGCCCACTTTTGGATTTATGGCAGAAGAAAGAATCAGTGAGTTTGAAGGCAGATAAATCGAGGGTATCCAGTTTGGGGAACAGAAAGAAACAATAAAGAAAAATAACAGATCCTCAGAGAACTATGAAATTCCACTAAGCATACCAGCACACACATATGGGAATCCTATATGGAGGAGAGAGATAGGAAAGGGAAAAAAATATGTGTGAGTATGTAGAGAAATAATGGCTGAAAACTCCAAATTTGATGAAAAACATTAATTGAAATATCCGGATTGGTCGGTGAACCCAAAATAGCACAAAACAAAGAGATTCACACCTAGAAACCTTGCAGCCAAACTGTCAAGTGCCAAATACAAAGAGAAAAGGCAAGCAACAAGAGAAAAATGACAACAGCTGACTTCTCATCAGAACTATGGAAGGCAGTAAACTGGGCAGCATTCAAAAACGTGTCAAGTCAAGAATTCTCCATCCAGCAGAACTGTGTTTCAAGAAGGTGAAATAAAGAATTCTCAAACAGGCAAAGACTGAGAGAATTTGCTGCCAAACACTCTTTGAAAGAAGTATAAGTGGAGGTCCTTCGGGCTCGGAAAAAGTAACAAACAACAGGCATTAATGGAATACATACAAGGACAATTCAGAAACACCGTAAAAGGTGGGCGTAGGCAAATGTTAGCGGTTGCAACATGCTCTCTGACTCAAGATGGTTCAGCTAACAGTTCTTTGACTTTGTGACGTGTAAACATAGCACACATTCAGTAGATTCCGTCTTTTGCATCTGGTCTTTTCCTGGATATGCTATATGGTATTCCCTGGAGATGCAGGGCAGGTGCAACAAGCGAAAGATGCCAGCCACTCCTGTGACCACAAGGGTAAGCCGCAGGTACCCAACAGTGTGCTGTGCTGCCGAGCTCTGATGCTCAGCGGGTTAAGTGAATTAAATGCATGTTCATCTTCTGCTATTTTAAATGGATGATGGTTTTTATTAGAACGTGATCCCATCATACACTGAGGAGCATTTGTATATGAAATGCTTTCTTCTAACTGATTTTAAAGATATAGGACTATATAAAATAGTTGTTATAAATTGTATTATTGGGCTTATGGCATTTAAAATCTAATATATGTGACAGTAATAGCACAGGAGAAGAATGAGCAAGTGGATCTATATTGGAGAACATTTCTTTATTTTACCAAAATTAAATTAGTACTAATATGAAATGGATTGTGATCATTTAAGATGGACGTTGCAATCCCTGGAATAGAAGCTAAGCAAGTAGCTCCAACAAATGGAGTACAGGTGGGTGTTTGGCTTAATAGTTAATATCCCCCTTGGAACACCCGCAATCCTGTATCAGAGAGCCTGGGTTCAAGTCTTGGCTCTGTTTCCAGTTCCAGCTTCCTGCTTGTGCTCACCCTGGGAGGTGGTAGATGATGGTTCAAGCAGCTGTGTCTCTGCCACCCACATGGGAGACCCAGTTTGAGTTCCAGGCTCCTGGCTTTGTCCTGGCCTGGTGCTGGCAGATGCAAGAATCTGGGGGATGAGTCATTGGATGGAGCATCTCCTTCTGTCTCTGCCTTTCATACAAAATAAATAAATAATTTTTAAATGTAATAAGAAGTCAAAGAAATTAAAGGGGTAGAGATTATCTGTTGAACATGACACAATTTCAACCTCTCTGGATCCTCACAGTTTACCTATGAAGGAGAAATTGTTATACCCATAAAATTATTTGAGAAGAAGAGAGACACACAGAGGACTCCCACTTGTTGGTTCACACCCCAAATGTGTGCAATGACTAGGGCTGGCTGGGGCTGGGCCAGGGCCTAAACTGGGAGCTGGGAACACAGTCCATGTCTCCCTTGTGGGTGGCAGGGACCCAATCACTTGAGCCATCCCTGCTGCCTCCCAGGGTCTGCACCAGCAGGAAGCTGGGGTCAGGAACCAGAGCTGGGAAGGGGACACAAGTACTCTGATATGAGACATGAGCATCTTAACTGTGGCTAAATGATTTGTTAGGAATAACAGAGTAACAGTAATAGAGAAGGAGACAGAGCAAGAAAGAGAGATCATGCATCATCCGGTTCACTCCCCAGTTGGCAGGAAAGGCTGGGGCTGGGCCAGACTGAAGCCAGGAGGCAGGAACGCCATCTGGATCTTCCACAAGGGTGGCAGGGGCCCAAGTGCATGAGCCATCCTCTTCGGCTTTCCCAGGCGCAGAGCAGGGAGCTGGATGGTCCGTGTAGCAGTCGGGACTGGAAGTGGCACTCTAACACGGGATGCTGGTGCCGCAAGCCGCAGCATAACTCACTGTGCCACAATGCTGGCCCCTGTGTCTTCCATTTGAAAGAGGAAACCACTAAAGTTCAGAGAGCTTGCACGTGCTCAGTGCAAGAGTTAGATTCAAAGGTTAAGCCTGTGCCTCTAACCTCTGTGCCATGGTGCCTCTCGGGTGTCCCACGAGGATCAGCACCAGGAGACACCGAGTTCTCATTGCTA